ATTTGAGTCCGTACAACGCTTTGTTCAAGCTACACACCATTGCACGGTTCTGACGATTTTCGAACATCGAGGGCTGCTCCATGTAGATTTTCTCCTCCAGATCTCCTTGGAGAAAAGCGCAAATCGTATTTTGCTGCCAATCCCAAAAGGTATCGCAGAGAACTGTGACGAACGGCCGGGGAATATGTTTCTTCAAAATCGACCCGCTTTCGCTGCGAGAATCCTTTAATCAGCAACCTCGCCTTGTGTCGGTCCACATTTCCGCTCGAATCGTACTTTGTCTTATATCAAGCTGAACATTGATCGATTCTCGTCGTCGACTTTCTCTTTCGTTAATAACTTGAGCAGATAACCGTTTCTTGTTGTGTTTGTGCTATTAGTTGCTAGATAAAAGCTTGTTTTATCGATCTGTGTGCTGAAAGTACCTGGGAATGCCTTTACATGTCCGTGGAGATACAAAGAGAAAGTCGACGAAGAGAATCTGTCAATGTTACTTAGGACCTAATACAATGTTCAGCTTGATATATCCACTTGCATTTTATCGCCTTCCTACCTTTAGGAAGTTCGCCAGCGTCCAGGTACCGTTGCTGATCAACGCATCGTACTCCTCCTGTATGGCTACCTTCCACTTTTCGGGATCGGGACGCGACATCGCATCTTGTGGCGTGACAGGATCGTTTGAAATGTCGATATTTACATTGTCGATCTGTTGCTGAGTCGTCAATCTACTAAAATAGTCCAACTCGTCTGACTCCACAGATTCGTTCGGCTCCGCAACTTGCGCAACATCAGCTTGGGAAGTCTGTGAGGAACGGCAACAAGGCAAGCCTTTGGTCGAAACAATAAACTGATCATACTTTCCTGGGCGATTGTGATCCCGACCGCTTCGCCTCAACGCTAATGACCCACGCGGATATGACACTTGGCGGGGTGTGAGCACGGTTACGGTCAATCACGGAGTCTGTTGAACTGCTGCTAACGTTGCTTAACGCCTCTTCGTAATCGTCGTCTTCGAAGTCACTCTCGGGAATAATTGGTACAGCCGCGGCACTCGTTTTATCCGTAACCTCTGACGATAGTGACACAGCCCAACAAACATTGAACGCAGAATAATAGCTTATTCAAGCAAAAATAAGCAGTCTCTTCAACATCCAGTCTGATCACCGTGCGACCACTTCCTCGATCAGGTTTCAATTCACGACTTCCAATTGTCCCTTTGTTGATGAATCTTACATCCCGACTCTTGACAATCTTTCTGATCTTCAGATCAAATAAACGATAACCCTTGGTATCTTCATCCATTCCTACCAAAATGCATGCTTTCGCATGTATCCCATTTGCGTCGATTTTGTTTTGCAACGTGAACCATTGGTTGTGTTCTGAAGATTCTAACGCTCCAGAGCTCTTCAGGTGTGACATAATGTCCTCGTGTCGGTGAACGATTCAGGAGGTATACCGCCAGTGACACAGCTTCTGCCCAAAAATGTTCGTCAAGATTCACTTAAAAAAGGAAGGGTTGTATGCACGTTCGACTATCGACTGATTCACCCTCTCTGCCAGACCATTTTCTTTTGGAGTGCAGCTATTCGTGGTTTGATGCCGGTTTCCAAACCTGGTTTGTATATTCTAACCTGTTTGTCGCTCTGCCATCACATGGAATTTTCTGAATGTATCCAGAACTTCGCCTTTCGACTTTGATCGCAGAAAATAGACAAACATCCGTCTTGACTTGTTATCCACAAATACAATATAATATCTGCTTCCTCCTAACGACTTGACTTCCATCGGACCACAGATGTCTGAATGTATCGACCACCAACACTTCAGATGCACGGGAACCCTTCTTGCTTAATGGTTGCCAACTGTGTTTTCCCATCGCACTTGCGCTGCAATCGCTGTCAGTCTTTTCACCAGGGGGTAAGTTACTCAGCACAGTACGCCGAAAGTTGATTCGGCACAGCTTGGGCACATCCATCGGCACAATCTCGAAGGCATTGGATTGTTTATTAAATAAAATGGGAGCACTGCTGGACAGCTGTCATTGAAGTCTGCCGGTGTATTTCAGAAAACTACTCTAACTGTATATACTAGAGAAATTCAGACCAGCAATTCACGTCTCGGTTCACATTTAAATTCGAAATGTAGGCTTCCGAGGGCTGTCGATTGCTATCGAGGCCGGTCACAAGTCTTACAGCTACTACGCAAATGGAGTGTACTACGAACCGGAATGCATGAACAATTTGGATGGATTGGATCATTCTCCCGAAACTCCAACCCGATGGCAAAACCGAACCTCTTAGCTTGGATCCTCCTTCTTGGCATAATCCATTCCGACGTCAGAAACCTCCGAGAGCTTCTTGCCCGGAATCATCACCTTCAGCAGTTCCTCTTCCAGATTGAGCAGAAAGGTGTAGTGCTTCTGAATTGTTTCCATCGAATTTACCAGCAACGTTCGAACGACATTGGAGCATAGGACTTGTAACGCGCACCCAGAGCACAGATGATCGATGCGAAGTGCAGATAGTTCTTGTCGCTGAATGTACTGAACTTCAATCTGTAATTGCCACCCGATTGGATAATCGCCGGGTGGCACATGTCCAACTAGTTGATATCGGAGACAAACCTTTTGTCCGTCAGAGCCTGCTCGACACCTTCCGACAGTTTGGCATGTTTTACTTTCTTATCAGCATCGATAATCTCCAAGATGTGATCCTTGCGGTACTTGTTGAATACGTCTACCGTCACCAGGCAGGCCTTCTTGATGGTGATAACCTCGGAGTCCTCCTTGGAGCACATGATGTACCCGATTGGGACGCTGATGTCCACCGTGTTGAAGCTCTTGTCCTTGACGAAGGCTCGCCACGATTCACACAATTCACCCAGGAAGTTCTCCTTGAAGAAGACGCCCAACGTTCTGCAATCCTTGATCGCCTCCAGCAGCCTTGCCTATGTTATTCTTATCCCAAACCAGCAGCTTAACCGACGGAATGCCCTCCTCACCGTCCTTCTCGATCTGCTTTAAGAAGTAGATCTTCTTGCTGGTCAGGAAAAATATGGACTTTTCGCACATCACCGTAATCGTATCGGTCAGCTCGTATCCCAGCAGCCAGGTCTGCAGCGAGGTGGATTTGCTGTATTGGTTTCCTCGTCTTCGCCGACCGCCGTCAGAATGCAGTCCGCCTTCTGCAGCGAATCATCATGGGAAAACTCTGGCTAATTCCAGTTGGCGTAGAGGCGTTTTATTCGTCGGTAGAAAGAATTCTTATCGAGCACGATATTCGACATTTTCGGGGCCGTTGTGAATGCAAACCAAAACATTCAAACTGTCAGAAATACCGGGTTGTTAAATATACCATAATATACATATTTTTCAAACAATCGCAGCTTGCTCTATGACCGGCACACCTGCGGCACACTGAGAAAAATGTTGATCCAAGAATGGTGTGCGGAGTGATCTACCCCTTGCTTTTCACTCAGTTCCATGCAATCAACCAGCCCATCCGTCAGTTTCTTTAATCCCGCCAAATTCAGATGGCCCATTTGTCGATGCCAGATATCCAGAGACACAGCTGATGAGCATGCAAGTACCTGCTTTCCCGACAATGCATGTGGCCTCAGAATGGTTTTTCCGATAGCTTCAATGCTCATTTCGCCCTTGTTGACCGCAACAACATTACCATTCGATGGCTTCAGATCCTTCAACAGCGCTTTGTTGTGAGTCATGTAAACTGTTGCTCCGGAGTCGAAAAACCAATCGGTGCTGCTGTTGGACTCAATCGACGACAACACAGTGCAAAAAACTTCTGCGTTCGAACTTCTAAAGTCTTTTGCGATGTAGCTGTATTTCTTACACTTCCTGCACTTCGGACCTTTTGATTCCGTCTTGGGTTGGTTGAATGTTTCCTACTGCCTGTTGAATCCTCCACGCTTCCCTTTTGTCAGTAGTGCCGCATCCGACGAAGGTGCCTGCAGCTCCTGCAGTAGCTTGGTCTTGATGGCATGTCTTGTTACCGATGTTCCGGAGTTTTCCAGAGCCATAATCATTGGCCTGTACTCCGTCAACCCATTCCGCAGAAATCTTGAATCCAATTCCAATTCCATTTCCGAAATAATTTGATTAACGTATTCCGACATCGATGAATAGCTTGCAGGGTCAGTCTTCACCAGATTCCGCAGAAGTCCTACTCGCCTAGTGAGTCCGAAATCTTGAAACACTTTCTCCAGGTTGTCCCAGATTTCATTCACTGTTCTCGCTTCCTCCACTTGAACATAGCTCGTTAGATTCAGCAACAGAATTATTTTCGCTCTTGCTTTTCAGTTTTTCGTGGCGTTGACTTCCTCGAAAGTTCCGTCCGCTTTCCTATCGGGTTTGACGGCCTCACAAAGATCTTCAAGCTTGAAGTAACTTTGGACGGCGTACTTCCATGTCACCCAATTCTCCCGTCCGTACAGTCGCTCGATTCCGGGAAGAATTGAAAACTCGTGAGCTTCCGAATTCTGACTACTACTTGAATTACTGGTGATCATTTCGAATCTTCAGAGCTTCAATTTTCAGCGGTCAATAGGCCCATAACCTATTATAATGATTTATTGAGAATACGGCTTGTTCGTTTGATGTTCAATACCAGAATGATGAAATTTATTTCGTCGGTAGGAGTCATGACCTATTTCTAATGAATACAATCCAGAATTTCCTAGGAGATCCCTGCAGAATGCCCTTCGAATACTGCTGATACTAATACTTGATACTGCTTCTTCAAAGGTTGGGAAGAACACTGAAGTCACTATCTGACGATACTCCAGAGATATTTATATTCAAATTTTATTTAATTGACTGATCTATGAGTCTGTTTGTCTATGGTAACCTAACGAAGATCTTACGCGTGCATTCTAGCTAATTTGCATTCCTAACGCGATTGAACCTTCATTCCTAATGAGGCCTTCTCAACATGGCACTCATTCGCTCGTGATATATGGAATTAAATAATTCTTTCCCTTAGAATCCCATCCCTCCCGGAACCAACAATGCCACCACCACCGATCCCAACGGACAACAACAACAGTTCACTGCCAAACCCGGTTCCGATTCCGTCCACGATGGACCAGCACCACATCCGCCACAAGGAGGAACCCATCTACGAAGCGGTTATTCATCTCAAAGAGCTTCCACCACCTCCGGAGGTACACGAGAAAGTTCCTCCTGTTCCGCAGCACCAACCCGGACAAATACCTACAGCCCTGCAACAGCAACAACTCCAAGCGCAGCACCAGCTGCAGCTGGCAGCCCATCAGCTCAGCCTGCAGCAACAACTTCAGCAGCAACAGCACACCAACCACGCTCCACCACCGCCTCCGCATGCCCACGGAGTTATCCACCAGCCACAAAGTCTGGAGAACGGTGGTCACAAACTGCGACCCAAGAGTCCAGCCGTCATCCGCTCCGCTAGTCCGGTTCAACGGGGTTCCGGTGGACCGATGAGTCCTTCCTCACCAAAGCACAGCCGTCCGAGCTCAAGGACTTCCTCAACCGGCGGTGGGCATCCGTTGGCCGAACGGGAACAACGAAGGAAGTACCGAGTGGAGAAAAAGCTCCAGGAGATGCAGCAACTGGATATAACCGAGCGAGAGAAGGAATTACTGCGGGATGATGTGTACTACGACATACTGGAATTTGCTGAGAGTTACTACAATACTCATGAGCGATCCCCAGAGGGAACCATAATGGCGACCCTGACGCGGAAGGGGCGCAAGTCAGTCGACATGGTTCCGAAATATGAGATGATAACGTACTACCGGGGTAATACGATTCCTACGTCACACATTCACATGTACGATCCGGAGAATGTGACCCTAGCGTGCAATATTTTTAGGGTAAGTTTTACACTTGTTTTGATTATAACCTAACCTAACCTGATATTCTCTTGTTCCAAGGATCTCTGCAAATACACCCGTGGCGAGTTGAGCAGCGAGAAGGAACTGCAGGTGATACAGTTCATCATCGGGCAGGGAATCGAGCGGGAAGAGCTGCGGGATGAAATCTTTGTGCAATGTATGCGTCAGGCAACGAACAATCCGAGCGTGGACTGGACCGATCGGGTGTGGCTGCTGCTCTGTCTGACCATTGTGGCGTTCCAGCCAAGCAAACTACTGTTCCGGTACTTTGTGAGCTTTCTGAAGAAGAATCTGGAGTCACTGGAGGGCAAGCTGAGGCAGTACGTTCAGTGGTGTCTCGATAACTGCAAGAATACGAAGGTGCGCTGCCGGCAGTATGCGCCGTCAAGCGTGGAAGTGGCGGTGAGTATGGCAGCGTTGTCAGTTTTCTGGTTTCCAGAACATAACAATACATATCTAAATTTTTAGGCCATGCGGCGGCTGGGAACGATTGTGTGTCGGTTCTTCTTCCTAGACGGACGTACCAAGGCCATTGACGTTCACCCGACGGACACGGCCAGCGATGCCGTCGCCAAGCTTGCGGAGAAGCTGGGCCTATGCAACATCGAAGGCTGGGCCATCTATCAGTCGCGACCGGACGGGGAGGAACATGTCAAGTCACACGATTATCTGTATGACATAATTGCCGCCTGGGAAGCGTAAGTACCGCCCGTATTGGGCTTTTGTTCTTTTGCTTTAATTCTTGGACTAATGGAATGAGATTGACTTAACTAACTGAGGGTTCGAGACCGGGATGATTGTTGTAAATAGGTGAAAGATCAACGAACCAATCGAAACATACAGGCAATCGTGTTGACATAACCTCATTTTGTGTACAAAGATCATCGTTTGAGCCCAACTAAATTCCGGTTTTCTGTGGAGAGGCAGGAGGCAGTGTGTGTACCATCGGAGAAGGGGTTTGCAGTGGATTCATAAGCTCACCTTTTTAAGACCGTCGATCATAACCACGTTAATCCAATTATTTCAGCGGACGTGATCGCGGCGGCCATCAGACCAATATCGTCAAGAAGGTCAACCGACGTGCCTATCGAATCTTCCTCTACCTCAAACTGCCGGAGGAACTTCGTAGCAAAGACATTCCGAAGTACTACACTACTTGACAGGGCAATACTTGTACTGAACTACAATTGTGTGTAGGGACTGGACAAAACACTAGCTAAGATCTAGCAGCTACCAGGCAACTGAGTTGATTTTTGGGGAAAATTTTAATTTTTCTTACAGTAAACAAACCAAAATCCATGCTGGAAGCTCGACACTGCGCAAAAATGCCACCACTTTGGGTTCGGGTGAGAATCGGTTCGTTTTCAAGAAGCGACTGTTCAAGAGTACCCGTGAACTGTCGCAGGATCCGGTCGAGGTCAACATGCTGTATGCGCAGGCCGTGTACAGCGTGGTGAAGGTAAGATTCGAAAGTGATTCTCAAATGAACTTCACTAATTGAGATTCTTGTAGTGTGATGACTTCCCCGTATCGGAGAAGGTAGCCCTCCAGCTGGCCGGTCTACAGGCTCAGGTTGCGCTTGGTGATCCTTCGAATCAACCCAAACCGGAGTACTACTCGGATGTGGGCAGTTATCTTCCGGAACGTATCAGCAAAACTCGCGAAGAGCAGTTCTGGGTTCCGATCTTGGCTCAAGCCCATCGCCAGTACGGTGCCGGCCGTACGGAACTAACCGCTAAGGTCTTGTATCTTTCTTGTGTGATGCAGTATCCGCTGTACGGTACCACAATGTTCGCTGTATCGTACCGGGGCTATTGGAGCTACGGAAATAGTCTGATCCTCGGCGTCAACTGCGAGGGTATTATCCTGATCAAGCCGGACGATAAGTTTGTGCTGTACGAGTTCCGCTACAGTGATATCGAGTCGATCATGCTAGATCCGAGCGATAGCTTCATTACGATCAGCCTGAACCGTCATACAAGCACAAACACTACCACGGATCAGCAGCGATGCTTCGTGTTCGAAACGTCGCAGAAGAACGAGATCGGTTCGCTGATCGTGTCTTACTTCCCGGCGCTATCGAACTGGATAACTGAGAACGAGGTCCCCGCTAAGAAGAGCAAGGGGATCACCAACGAAGATCGCGTCAGGCTGCATCACAATGTGGTTGTATGTCGGCGACACCTGGTGGATGCGGAGATCCTACGAAAGCCGCAAGATCCTAGCGGTGGCTTTTTGAGGAATACACTTCGGCGGCTGTCAAAGCATCGGCTGGAGAAACTCCGTGCGGAACACGGCAGTCCAGTGCATGATCACGGTGAAACATACAAAGGGTTCCCACATGCGTACTGGGCCTTCAGTAGGCAACCATTGCCGCAGAGCTTGAGCAAGCTGCCGGATCAGGAGGAACAGTCCATGATGCAGGTGTTCAACTCGATCTTGACCTACGCTGGGCTGGGTCAGAACGGTAAGTTATTAAATGCTGGCGTATTCTGAATTTATTAGACTGCGTTCCACTTTAGGTGAAACTGTTCAACGAGCCGAAGACGAGCACATCACCTTGATTCAATCGATCATGGATCGATGCATGCGAAAGGAATCTCTGCTGAACGAACTGTACCTGCAGTTGATCAAGCAAACGACTGACCATCCCGATCCGAACTCACGTGTAAACCTACGTCACTGGGCCCTGCTTTCGTTGGCATGTAGCGTAATTCTTCCCCCGCAGAAAGTAGTTAGGAAATATTTGATAGGTCATTTGAAACGATGCGCTAGCGACTTCATTAGCGAGGAAGGCAAGTATGCTCGGTTTGCTGAGAAGTGCTTCTTCAAGACGCAGGGAACTCGTCGACGGCAATGGCCTCCGAGCCGGGAGGAGATCGTATGTACGATTAATCGTAGACCGATTTATGCCCGGTTCCACTTCATGGACGGGCAGTACCACTCGGTAGAGTTCCATCCGAGTTCGACTTCGAGGGAAGTCATGGAGATTGTTAAGAAGAAGATTGGACTGCAGGAAAACGCACAAGGTAAGGTTTAGGAGTTTGGTAGATGTTCCATCAGTCCAAATCATTGCTTCCCATTCCATTCATCCCATGTAGGCTACGCAATCTACGAAGTGCTAGGTGCTTCCGAACGCGCACTGCTTCCGGACGAGAAGGTTGCGGATGTGATGTCCAAATGGGAGAAGTACCGTACCGCGGCGGCACAAGCTGTCCAGCAGAATCAGAGTTCGAACCTAGCGCCAGCTTGCCGACGGCAGCATCATCTGTTCCTGTTCAAGAAGCATCTCTTCTGCGATCAGTATATTAATCTTGAAGATCCGGTGGAGAAGGAACTGCTGTACCATCAGGTGTTGCACGGTTTACGGACCGAGCGGTTCCCGATTTCCGAGATGGAGGCGGTGAGATTGCACAGAGTTTTGGTCTGAAGGTTCCTAACAACTAATGTTATTTTCCGTAGATCATGTTAACGGCCCTGCAAGGCCAGCTGGAACTGGGTGACTGCTCGGACGTTGTCCAGGACTACCGTGCGATTGCGGCCCACTGTCTACCGCCACGCTTCGTACCGAACATCCCGCACGAGGGTGTGGCCATGCATCACCAAAGTTTGCGAGGAATGACTCCGGCCGAAGCGAAGAAGTCCTTCCTCAATCTGATTCAAAGCTGGCCCCTGCACAAGGCTACCATCTTTGATGTGATGCAATCGTTTACTTCCAACTGGCCTCGGATACTATGGCTGGCGGTGGACCAGAAGGGACTGCACCTGCTGGAGCACCGTTCGCGCAACACGCTCTGCACCTATGAGTACCAGTCGATCCTGTCGTTCTCGCCGAACATGAACTGTCTGATGATCATCACCGGGTCGGACAAGAAGCAGTCGAAGGTCATTCTGACGACGGCGCAGGTGAGTACTGGGTGAAGCTGTGGGATAGCTGGGAAGGTGCCGATTTCAGACGAATTTCAGACGAGACCTTTGGCAGGCTTCTGGACGAAATTTATGGCAGTATTTGGACGAAACATGAGGCAGATTTCTGGACCAAGCATGTGCCAGGCTTCAGATCAAAGCTTGTGTTAAGCTTCTGGTCGAAGCCTGTGTTAGGCTTATGGAAGAAACCTGTGGTTGGTTTCTGGATGAAACTTGTGGTGTGCTCTGGGCGGAGCCTACGACAGTCTTCTGGACGAAGCCTACGGCAGTCTTCTGAACGAGCCTGTGACAGGCTTCTGGACGAGGCCTGTGGCAGTCTTCTAGACGAAGTCTGTGGCAGTCTTCTGGACGAAGCCTGTGGCAGTCTTCTGGAAAAAGCCTGTGACAGTCTTCTGGACGAAGCCTGTGGCAGTCTTCTGGACGAAGCTTGTGGCCGTCTTCTGGACGAAGCCTGTGACAGTCTTCTAGACGAAGTCTGTGGCAGTCTTCTGGACGAAGTCTGTGACAGTCTTCTGGAAAAAGCCTGTGACAGTCTTCTGGACGAAGCCTGTGACAGTCTTCTGGACGAAGCCTGTGACAGTCTTCTGGAAGAAAACTATGGTAGTCTTCTGGACGAAGTTTGTGGCAGTCTTCTGGACGAAGCTTGTGGCAAGCTTCTGGATGAACAGTCTTCTGGACGAAGTCTGTGGCAGTCGTCTGGATGAAGCCGGTGGCAGTCTTCTAGACGAAGCCTGCGGCAGTCTTCTGGACGAAGCCTGTAGCATTCTTCTGGACGAAGCCTGTGGCAGTCTTCTGGACGAAGCCTGTGGCAGTCTTCTGCGTGAAGCTTGTGGCCGTCTTCTGGACGAAGCCTGTGGCAGTCTTCTGGACGAAGCCTGTGGCAGTCTTTTGGACGAAGCCTGTGACAGTCTTCTGGACGAATCCTGTGGCAGTCTTCTGGACAAAGCCTGTGGCAGTCTTCTGGGCCTAGCCTGTGACAGTCTTCTGAACGAAGCCTGTGGCAGTCTTCTGCGTGAAGCTTGTGGCCGTCTTCTGAACGAAGCCTGTGGCAGTCTTCTGAACGAAGCCTGTGGCAGTCTTCTGGACGAATCCTGTGGCAGTCTTCTGGACAAAGCCTGTGGCAGTCTTCTGGGCCTAGCCTGTGACAGTCTTCTGGACGAAGCCTGTAGCAGTCTTCAAGACAAAGCATGTGGTAGTCATCTGGACGAAGCCTGTGGTAGTCTTCTGGACAAAGCTTGTGGCAGTCTTCTGGGTTAAGTCTGTTGCAGTTTGCTGCGTTAAGCCCATGGCAGTCTACTGGATGAATCTCTCTGGCAGGCTTTTAGACAAAGCCTATGCCAGGCTGCTGGACGAAGTCTATGCCAGGCTGCTGAACGAAGCCTGTGGCAGGGTTCTGGACAAAATCTCTGACATAGTTCTGGGCGTAATCTGTGGCAAGCTGTTGGACGAAGCCAGTGGCGGGGTTCTGGACGAAATATTAGACAGGTTTCCGGAGGAAGTTTATGACAGGCTTATTGACGAAATCTTTGGTAAACTTCTAAATGAAGAGTCTACCAGGCTTGTGGACGAAGTCTCTGGCAGGCATTTATCTGGAAAAGTTAGTCAGGCTTTTGCACGATCACTGTGCTAGTGTTCTGGACAAATCATGTGGCAGGCTTCTCAAAGATAGGCTGTCAGAAAATTAGTAATTCCAACAATCCTTTATTCCCAGGCCTTCCAAATTGCCAACCTGATCCGTGAGTACATGGAGGTCATCCAGACGCAGATGAGCGATGAAACACAAAAGGAGAATGCGGGACCGGGAGCACCTCAGGTACCACCCCACAATCAGCCGCTTCCGCCACCACATCAGAATCTTACTCCACAACAGCAGCAGCAGCAGCAGTTACAATTGCAGCATCAGCAGCAAGCGTTGATACAGCAACAGGATCATCGGAAAGGTCAAGGCCAAGGTGGTCAGCAAAGGCCTGCTTCGATGGCGATGCTGCGGCAATCGGGCGCTGCTCTAGTCGCTCCGCAACCAAGTTAAGGTATGATTTTGGGAGTTACAGAGTATTAGCGTAAATATCAGCAGCAATTGTATAACCCGTTCGATGCATTAAATACGGAAAGTTTACAATAATTGAATGTGTGAGAGACTGAAAGTAAAAAAAAAACGTAAATAGTTATTGGACTCAGTGAGGTTTGATAATCGATGCAGGACAGTTTTAGACCAGTCGATTACGATCGAAAGTGTACGATTGGATCTCAGTCATGACGCATGGAAATCAAAATTTTCTACTTAAATAAATATAAAATTGTCCCATGAAATCAAACATAACCAAGAACAACTAACAGAAAACTTTAATAATCAAACTTTGTATAAACAAAATATCGGTTAAGACTTTGGACAACAATTTTGATTTTCGTTGCGTCACTGAAACAAAAAAAAAATTATCTAAAGTAGTTAAATTTCGTAGTTTCCGTTACCTGAGAAGTGAATAAGGGGAAATTAAACATATAACACACTCATACTAGTAGAATCTCCCAAGTCTGTATTTATTGCGCGCTTCGATGATCTCATTTAGTCGAAATAATAAGTACGCAATTATTGCTCACAAAAAAAAAAAAAAGAAAATGCAAAACCAAGTACATTGTAAGTTTAAAAATAGTTTCCGAATCTAACCAAAACGGGCTTGTTATTAGCGATTCACAGATATGTATAACGATTTAAATCAGAAGCGCCTTTCACAACCCCTGACTGAGCACAAATTCACTACTACTGCCGCTCTGTTTTTATATGACGCGTCTTTCATTCTCTATTTTTTATTTTACTTTTTACAACAATTCTACCGTACACACTCACACTGTTTCACGAATTGTTTGGGACTCAGGCCATTACGAGTAAAATTTAGTATTCTACCTTTAGCTATTTTCCTTCTACGTCATTTTTAATTTTCGATGAAAAATCGTGTGATATGCTGTGTTGATTTTCTATCAGTGCATTGACCTACGCAGAAGTCTTTTTTGATACAAATTTATTTTTTGTGTAATTATTTACCACTTAGGAAATGTCGGAGAGTTTAAGCTAAATTATAATTAAGTAGACATATGTACGAATGTGAGTAATTTATTTATAAATGATTATTTATTTGTAAAAACAAAATATTGGCCATAATAGACTTTTCAGTTTACTCAGTTGATGAAAACTACTAACGATACTAACACACTTACACTAATAGAAACTTTTTAAACAAAACTATACACGAAACCCCGCTTTTAACCAAAACACTTGCATATACATTCTTAAAGTTTACTTCAACTCAAGATAATTTAAGAATTTTATTTACCAAATCTTACCAAGTAGGGTATAACAAACTGAGAAACAAAACAAAAATATATAGTGAAAGTCTAAACAAACAAATGCAAAACAAACTATTGAAAATGGTTGAAAATAATTATTGAATAGTTGAGAGTAACATGTTATCGAAAACCGAAAAGAAGCCTAACCCCATAACTTAATAACATTAACAAAGAAAAAAAAAACTAACCAATCGCAGGCAAATATAAACAAAAACAGCCGAAGCAAAGTTTCAGTAAACAAAAACAAAAATTCCACTAGTCAAGACGAACTTGTGAAAGTTGCAAACAGAATTTATTTTCTAGTGAATGGCTACCAAATGAGCAAAATGAGCTACACTCTTTCTTGATTCTCTTCTCTGTCCCGTTAAACAAAACCAGCACCGACAGTGTTGACTAACCCCATCCATACGCTAGTAAACAAACAGTTGAAATAATCGCTCTAGCAAGAAAAAAAACAAACAAATCAAGTTACACACGGAAAATTTGACAACAGCGTAGGATTCGGAATGCTGATCGCAGGAGGCGAATGTAAGGTAATGCTGGGAAGATCTACAGTTAGATGATTATAGTTGGCGGAGGCCACATGAGACAGACCTAGGCGATATTTCTATAACCTTTAATTCAACCGCTGCAGAATAGTGTGTGTGTAAAATGCATGCTCCACTGTTCAGTGTCATGGAATCTTACAGCAAAAGTAAATCGAGGTTTATTGGACGAATTGAAACGAAACGCGGTGCAGCTTTGATCATCCGAATGTCCTTTACATAAATTACTCTATAATCAACTCTATTACCGGTAGATTTGTGTATGATTTTTGTTTACTACTTAGGGGCCATACTTTAATTGGGGTAGGGAACGGCTAAATCAGGGGGCGACTGTTTTAATTAGTTGAAAAAATGGGTCCAAACTCATAAGTTTTGCACATTATTATAAAGTTTCATGGTGGGAACCATTACACAACGTCAAAATTATAAAAAAATCTCAAAAATTTCGTTTTTGAGTTTTTTTTATTTATTTAAATGGGGGATGTTTCCCAGAGTCTTAAACTATGTTAATCATCGATCGAGTTTCCACTTGCTGCAATTATGGCCTCCACACGCTTCCGGAATGCACGGCAGGTTCTAATAATGTAGTTGGATCCATTTCTCTCCAGGTACGGGTCAATGTTTGTCTGAGGTTTGCTGTACTCGGGTGGCGTTTAGAACAGGCCTTGGCCTTCATGACGCGCCATATTGAGTAATCCAGTGGATTAAGATCGGGGCTGGATGGCGGCCACATATCCATCGCCCAGAACGGAAGATATTCCTGCAACCACTTCTGAGTGCAGTTCGAGGTGTGGCACGGAGCCCCATCTGGTTGAAACATTTGGCTTCGGACCGTACTGTTCTTTGATCCACGGAAGAACATACTTACTTAAAATCCCTATGTAGACCTCCGTGTTGACCTTGTTGACTTTTGAAATGAACACCAGGTCCATTTTGTTTGCCATCGGAAACCACCAATTCAAACACACGTATACACAGATACACGTTCTTGTGCTCGTCGGCCAAGTCTTTTACCGGAAGAGAACTAATATACCGGTCGGTTCTGGAATTTGATACGGGATCGACGGTAAACATGCTCTCGTCGATGAACAGGATTACCGGATTTTTTCGCTTAAGGAAGTTCAAGATTTTCTTGTATCGTTCGTTGTGAGTTTTTTTTTTCCGTGCCCACGATTTCACCCCGCAATCTTCCTTTACGATCTTCCGTGCAGTAAAGTCACTGATCCCATGTTCCTTTACCATTTTCCTTGTTGAACGCACTGGATTCACCCGAATCTTCCTTTTGATAGCAGCGATAACCCTTGGAACCCGAGCTGACCTCGGACGACCTGTGGCCACCTTTGCGGATAGTTGTCCTTTCTTTTCTCGGTCTAAAACCCTTTTGACGGTCCACCGGGACAATCCCACGGCGATTGAAATGTCTTTTTGCGACATTTGCGTGTGGGACAAATCACGAATACGCTACCACTTCGTCATGGTGCAACCGTCAAACTAAGTAAATCGTTTTCTTCGATACACAGCCTACTACGGTATGAGCTATGTTATGTGCATGCAAAGAAAACCAAGGCATTGTATGCACTGGTGAAACGGGAACCTTATGTGTACAATGGTACAATCATTATCACGCATACGGTAAATAATTTCATCCGGAATACTATTTTTTAGATGAAGGTTTAGGCCAGATGCCAACATGTTAAACGTTATTTGGGCTAGAGTCGGTGTAGCCAAGTCTACCTATTGAACCGTCAAACCGGCTACCTATCGTGCAAAGTAAACAAACATTACGATGCTATGAAAGGTCCACGAAAGGTATTGCAATTAAATATAAAATATAACCGAAGAAATGATCATAAACACGCAGTGAGCATTACATTTGTCATGCGATACGTTTTGTAATGATCAGTAATGAAAATTTCTACTATTTTTCTTTAAGATAATTCGACAAAATCACTGATATAATGCTTAACTAAAGCCGTTAATTTATTTCCTCGCTAGAAGTCATTTGAAGTTGATGCAGAAGTCCTCTGTTGCCAAGTTAAAAGAAAGGGAATCTTTCGAAAACCGTGATGCGAGTTCAACTGTTTTTCTCTTGGCGTGACTCATTGTACATCGACTCTAATTTGGGCGAGTGCTATTATGTCGAATGCTATTTAGCTGAATGTGATTGGGTCAAATGAGTAATTTAATCGATTTTGAAAATTAAAATCATTTCAAAACACCACCTACAACACCACTACAATGGTTGAATCTGTGTACGAAGCGAGCGATGGAACAGTATCAGACGATGACCTTTACCCGAAGAAATTCGAGGGATTCCCTGATGAGGATATAAATGCCATGCTGGGATTTTCATAGATTTAATTCGAATTTATTTAAAATTCGCTTGAATTCTCTCAAAAATCACATTTACTACATCCAATATTGTTGCAGAGAAAAGACATGGCCTGCTTTGATGAAATATACGTAGCAATCAATTTTACTTATATTCTAGAACTTCTTCCGCCGGCGCCGGTGGTGTTCAATCCCAGCCGAGGTCGGTGGGATTTTTCTGAGGCATAAAAATCTCTGGTCACGTCTTCCTTCGGAAGGGAAGTAAAGCCGTTGGTCCCGGCCCATGTGTGTTTGATTGAATGGGTGCGATATCCTACACAGGTGTGGAAGCTACCTTCCTGCACATTCGATTACCGTCAATGGATGGCAATCGATGTCCGTCGGTGATTGGCACTAGATTGCGGAACAGAGACCGACGTTAAATAAAGGATAGAAAAAAAAGAACTTCTTCCGGTGGCCATCTGGTGATCACTTGGAGCCAATAACCAGCTAATATATCAAAATTTAAAATTGTACTACATTTCATATGGTTGCAGATGAAAATCATGGCCTACTTTGATCAAATTCACTTTTTTTTAGGTGTATAGGGCCCTTAATGTAGATATAGCTAGATAGAATATAAAGTCTTAGCGACAAATGAGGAAGGCTGGTAGATTAGTAACGGGGAGGATTTGCTTCATTTGTTAGGAGTGGTGATATGCCACAACGCACTGAACTCAAAATGAATGAGCGGGGGAAGGAGAGATCTGCGCAAACGAAGAGCGAGAGAGTACCACTTCCAGGGTGTGAAGTGATCCAGAGCACGAAAAGACAGTGAGTTAATGCGGTTCCTGGAATTGACTGTCGTCGGCTGGCTGCGAAGTGCTAACGTGGACCTCGTGGTGTGGAATCACATTGCAATCCAGTCAATGAAACCCGCTATCCGGCCGACGCTATCCAACAGGCGCTATGCAGCAGACGCTATCCAGCAGACGCTATCCAGCCGACGTTATTCGGCTGTCGCCATCCAGTCATCGCCACTCGCAGACACTATCCGACCGACACTATCGGGCCGACACTACGGGACCGACACTTTTTTTTGGCAAAGAGGAAACCCTTTTCTCCCGGAACCACTTCTCCTATTACTTCGAAGGGGGCCGTGCATAACGCACCTCACTTTACCTCAGTTAACTGGCGCTACCACTTCGCTGATCGTCTCTCCAATTTGTGAACCATTTAGCTCCCAGCGTCGCGCTCTACTCGGTTAACCACCGGTGGTGGATTCAGCCTACTCTGACGGAGAGTTCTCCCGGCTTCGGCTTTCACTTCGCACTTGTGTGAGCACATTACTACTTTCTAGCTGGTCCTCTCGCCATTTTCGCTGCAGCGCTGACATGATCTGCGTTACTGCTCTGCTGACGGCGTTAAAAGTGCCCTCCTCTCGACACATTTCTTCGACGACATTCTCCGCGCTAAGGGCGAGCATATCCTCTCGCATAGCATCATATCTAGGACATTCGAAGACCACGTGCTCTGGCGATTCTTCCACATTCCCACAATCCAGACAGAAGGGAGACGTTGTGTGTCCAAACCGATGCAGGTACTTCCTGAAGCAGCCATGACCAGACAGGAACTGCGTCAAGTGGAAGTTGACTTCTTTATTATTCCTGTTCACCCAGGTCGAAAGAAGCGTTATTAGCCTGTGTGTCCATCTACCGTTCACTGCTGCATCCCACTCCTGCTGCCACTTAGCCATCGACACCGTTCTCATCATTTGTCGTACTCGTTTCTCGTGGTTCCTCTCGTCATATAGCACCCGTAGTTCTCCGCCAAGGTGATGCCGCATACTGCCTCCATCGAAATGGTTCTGAAGGCACTCACGACTCGCGTGGCCATAAGCCGGAACGTACTGCTTAATTTCCTTTGGTTCTACTTCGTTTTCAGCCTTTTCAGCGCTTCAATCCAGGCTGGAACTCCGTACCTTAATATCGATGAGCCAAGAGACGCCGTTAAGCAGGCGTAAAGTGGAAATTTATGTGTATTCTTGAATTTGATTTTGTAGGAGGCTGATTTGTTATATTAGAATATTGTAAGATTTATGGTTTTTACGTCACAACTGGAATGTTATACCGCCTAACAACTAAGTGTTTTTTAAACTCTTTATTTGTTTCAAATTCAAATCAATTTACGTTCATCTTTAAA